ATTTTTTTGTTTTAGAAATTTTTTTTTGTTTAATTTTCATTTTTTTTTTGAAATTTTTTTTTTTAGAAAATTTTTTTTTGACGTCTAAGTGATGTTACAGACTACGGCTGAGGCCAGCCCTGGTGAAAGGACAGGACGGGAGGGATTCTTCTTCATCCGGTTGATCTTTAATAATAAGATCATTCTTCTCAATCCACAGCCTAATACCATATCATATGTCTGTGTTACATATGTTTTCTGTATTGGAGTAGACACTGGTCTGCGTTTTGGTGACGCCCCGCCTCCTTCTAGAACCGACGTCATGCTTGTAGTATCATTAATGGCACCTAGAAAAAAAAAACACCTAAAAAAAACCCCGTTTTTCTTAAAAGTTTCTTTTCAAGTGTTTCAGATGTAATTGCTGCTCCCCTCTCCTCCACAGGGGGCAATAGACCTGATGACTGATCATGGTCCTTGAGTTCCTGAGTCACGTGTGGCTCTGTAGTTCATTTACATTCGCTCCATGTATAATGATATTAATATTTGTGAATGGACCACATACAGTATAATCTGACCCGCCTACCCCCTCCCCCTCCCCGCAATAAAACATGCATGACTAATGCATCCAATCAGCCTTTATACTCAGTAGAAAACAGCGAATCCTGTGTGAGCTGCGGTCACTGACTTTACTGTGACTGTCAGATGTTTTCAAAGAAACACTTTCTTGTTGCAACACAAAAACAAAAGGTTTCATTTTTGAAATTCTAACTTAATTCTGTTTTAAAACTTTAAACGCTGCATTATTGACGTTAATCAAACCTTTGCCATGTTTTATTTAGCGTTAAAATGATTAAAACCATGATGTGGTTGTCAAAGATTGTAAATTAATGTGTGTAGTATATTACTATGCATTTAAGTTGAAATATACAAGTGTAACAACACCCGCAGTCTCTCGCTCTCCCTCCCTCTCTCTCTCTCTCTCTCTCTCATGGATGAGGACTGTTGCTGCTGCTGCTGCTGAGTCTGGATCACGTGCCCCTCCTCACTCAGAGCTTGGTTTTCTGCGGCTCCGCAGCACCAGCAGCAGCAGTAGCGGGAGCAGCAACGTTGAGGCTCGGATGTGAGATGCAGCTCAGAGGATCCCGCTGCTAGAGACAAAAAAGTTATGGCTCAGTCATCGTCAGAGGAACAGCTCCTGCAGCAGTGTCTCTGTGCCATAAAGTGCATGAGTGGTGACGCCTACTCTTCACTGAGAAGCACCTCTCCCGAGGGAGGAAACCCGAAATTACGCATCACTTTATCCCAATAAAAACTGGAGCTGTGACGCGTCAAATACTCCAGAAGACCTCAGGTATTGATGCTGTGTTATTTTATCTTTTTTTAAATATTTAAGTAAACAATATTTGATTCTCCTGGCTAATAGGTGACACGTTAAAGTAACAGCTATGAAAACGCACCACACAAGTTTTTTTGTTTTGTTTTTGGTGTAAAAACTTCCCACATGCACGGCGGTCTCACTGCAGGTCTGTGGCTCTCTCTCGTCAGATGGCAGCCAGATGACATCTTGAAACTCAGCCTGTTTAAGTGTCAGTGCTGTGCCCGAGCTGAAGGAGCCTTTTCTCGCCTTGTTGAGCTGAGTGAGGGGCACAATGCAACAGGGCCGTGAAGTGGAGATAACATCTGGCTCACAGCCACACACAGTAAGACCTCCTTGTTCTTTCCTTTCACTAATGCGCTTTTGTGGATGCCTCCGTGGACTATAAGCCAAAAGCTTTCGGGAAAACACTCAGGAACGTTTTTTAAAGCCCGTGTATTCACAAACCATCGGTGGGTGTCTGGCTCTTCGTCGATATGTGGCTTCTCTAGTCTAAATGAGAGGAAGTTCATGAGCAAATGGTTGAAGAGAATAGAAATTTAAATAATAGCTTTAAATACTAGAAAATTCACTTCTGGCTTATTGATTTATATATTTAATCTGTATTTTTCTTGAAAATGTCAATTAAGTTTCTTAAAAAAACAGGTTCTGATTTCAAAGTATTTATTTGTTCTGGTTCCTCTGCTCTTTTATGACAGTATGAATAAAAAGTAGTTCTGGATGAAAACAAAACAGGGCTGGGGCACTCAAAACTGAAAACTTATACCGCAAATAATCTCCGGTGTATGGAAAAAAAACACTGCTTTTGTACAACACTGTTGTAGGTAGTTGTTCATACTTGCATTTCCTGCAACTTTATGTTTTCATGACTCCAGCGCTCTCTTCAATTTCTGGGTTATCGATTTACTCAAATTGATTTATTAGCCAAATTTCTATATTTAAAAATCACTTTTGACAGTGTTTTCATTTGATTGACATTTCCCAGCTTTTCTGGGCTGAATGATGATCTGTTGACAGAGAATAGCTCATTAAAATAATCAATACTGCATCCATTCATAATATACATACATATACAAACATAAATGTTTCAACATGCAGAGTATCTCGTATCTCGAGGTTCCACCGTAGAAACAAATGGAACAAGTGGAACCTCGAGATACTGTGCATACGAGCATAATTGGTTCCATGACCGAGCTTGTAACTCGATGGGCTCGTATCTAGAATCGTGTTTTCCCATAAGAACTAAGTCGGCGTCTGTAAGCGTGCTCGTATCTCGAGGCAAAACATTTGCTCGACGGCTTGCTAGTATGTCAAGGTGCTCGTATTTCGAGGTTCCACTGCACAGGCTTCAGTTCACCACTGCAGCCCTACGAACAATGTGTATAACTCTCTCCATGTTGCTCTGTGAGTACTGAGTGGTACTTCAATTACACTGATGTCAGCAGAACTGATAAAGTGTGTATTTTCATGCTCGCTCTCGTCGGACTTTTTCACAAAGCGAAAACCTATTTTTGCCATTTCAAGCAAAATATCAATGTTGCAAGTGAGACTCTCAGACAGTCATCCGACCCCGGTGTGTGTTTTTCAGGAGGCATTAATTGTCCTTGTTGCCGCTCCTCCGAGCTCAAGTGGAGGTTTTTTTAAAGTAACGGTGCTGTGTCAGACTTTTCTGTTTGACTTTGTCTGTCCTTTAAAATGTCTTCCTAAACTGTAGCTGTCAACCAGAGTATGTAGTGATCTGTCAGAGAGTGTGCTCCTGGACAGGCGTGACTTTGTTACAACAGGAAGACCTCTTTGTCTTCTTTACACTGTCAAAAACTGTTTGTTAACAATAGCAGGCTGTGTCGGAGCAGGACAAACATGTTGACACTGCAAACCTGTAAATCACTGAAGGCGTTTCTCCTAAAGCTGCAATGACCAGTGGGGGGCGTGGGTGGGGGTGTTACCCTTGCAGCCATCCCTCAAACTGATTGAAGACTGAGTTTCTACACTAGTCCAGTGTTGATGGATAATTGTGAGCTGGTTTTACTTTGACTGGCAGCCACATGTTTAGAGCGGCTGTTACAACTTGTATCCACTTAATCGTGTAAGAGCTTTTCTTTTTTTTCTCCGTGACCCACATTCAAACAAAGCAAAGAAGTGAAAAGCTCTCCAAACTTACATTCCTGCCACACAAGATATAAACATGAACTGAATTTCTCCCAAAATTGCCTACCTGTGCTAGTAAAATATGATCAACCTGCACATTTAAATGACAATTCATCATTTTATAATGCTTACTATTGTAGCGGTAATAATAGCGGACAAATTAAGGTCTCAACAATTGTCTTAATTACTATAAAATACTATATATATATTCATATATGTATGTATACATGTACAATTTTTACTGTCAGTAAGTGAAAATATCATGTATTACTGTATATGTTTTTGAATAAACTGATCAAGTTTCTTTACTTAAAGTTCTCTAAATATCGTTACAAGTACAAAGCAACAGGAAGGAGACAAAACTGTGTGTGTAACGGGTGTTGTTTCAACAGGCAGACAAATACCTGTTGTACCCGATTTACCACTTAGCCTCTTTGGTTTTAGCCTCTAACAGTCTACTGTTATCCGACCTGCATAAAGCAGTACTGATGATAGTCATAGTATTGTAGTATTTGCTCTTCTTACCTTCCTAAAGCTACTGTTCAAACCAAGTTAGGTTTAGTAATCCATTTAACAAAAGCACAATAACAACGTTAACATGCAAGTTGGTGTCTTCTAAGTAATCAGTTCATGTTGCATAACATAAGCAACAATATACTGAGCATTTAACAAAGTGCAGACTCTGATCTAAAAATCTGCTCCCATTGGTTTGTATTTTAGGCTGCATTCACACAGAAATAAGGCAGCGTGGACAACTGGTACTGCATGGGGCCAAATGTTCTTCCTTTTTTCCTGCTGTATTCTGCAACTGTGCTGTGTGGTGAAAACCTAACACCTCTTTTGAACTCCTTGGTGACCTGTGTCACTGTCAGGCATCTTTTAGTCTTTTAGTACTTGTCAGTCTCGCTCATGTAACTCGAGAAGACGTGTTTAGTACAGTATAAAGTACTATTTCTACCTCCAACAACAGGACCGGTATTCTCTAAAGTCTGGGAATACACCATGACATCAGGTTTATAGAACAAAGAAAAACAGAAAAAAAGAATCAATCAAAAATTGTTCTGGGATTTTTCAGTAAGTGTTAAAAAATATTCATGAGAATTTTTGAAAAATGCATTTTTCTTTTTTGCACGTTTCTCACCAACTTAGATCATTTTGAGAATTTTTTTTAGGAACTAGTAAAAAAATATTTTAAAAAAAGTAAATATTGGACTAATCCAAAGCAAATCTACTAATACACTTGGATTCTACTGTACTGCTTCACTCACAGGAAGACTCTACTGGCTTATTGCTCTTTTCATTTCAGTAATTCCTGGTGTCTAACTGTTAATTTCTTCATGCAGGTTCAAATCTAATACTGGTGCAGCCACAGTTCCAAGTGTCCTTCATCCAAGCTGAGGATGACCATCTGAGATTAGGACATCTGACCTTGTTCACCTCCACAGCCTGTAGTACACTGACCAAGCTAGCCACACAGGTAACCCAAGATACATCAGCATGTAATGTGAGCTACATGAAATCTAAGGATAAGTCAATGTGTTTTGCCTCCTTCATCTTGTAAAGAAGCAGGAACTCCGTGAGCAGTGACAGAACCAAGGTCATGAAGTAACTTCATGTTAGATACTGCAGTAGATTTACCCAAGTCTTTTGTTGAAATAAGTACAATACTAGGCGGTCTGGTGTATGCTGGATACTGTATACATGACATTTCTGTACATATGGACCTTGAATATGGTTTTAAAAATAAAATAAAATAAAATAATGAATTCAATTTTTAAGACTAGAAGAAGAGATACATCCACTGACTGATTAACAAGGCAAACAGTTACACACTAGCTAAAGAGCTGTACTGACACCTTCTGTGTGAAGACCGTTAACCAACAGCTGTGACTATGAATGATTTGAAAGAAAAAAAAAAACTCAAACCTTAAACACACAATGTCAATTTCCTTATTTTACATTAACTGTTTTTTTCTTATAATTATCTCCCATGTTCAGCAAGTGTCTGAAGAAATAGCTTCATCTACAACATTACGCCTGATAATATAAGACTAAAATATTAATATTGGTACAGATATTATAGACTATAGATTGACTCCTCGCTTTAATTTTTTTTACATATCAGATTGTAGGGCAAACTAAATATTACTTCAACTGGAAATTAGTCATTATTTATTTGATACTAGTTTCAGGTCATTGTGTCAAGACTGAGTGTGACACACGCAACCACCAAGGTGAATACACCTCTGTCATGGTATGGTTCACCAGGAGCCAGGGAATGTTTTATATAGAGGGATAATTCACTTTACTGTAAGAATTCACTTGTAAATTGGCTCAATGATTAAAAGAGAATTCTTACTTGTCACTGTGTAACAGTTCAGAATTGTAGCCCAGGGGGAAATAGCAGTTCATTGACAAAAGGACCTATAAAATTCTTTATTAGTTTACTTAGTCTGCCTCTTTACCTCTTCGAGTTCCAACCCAGTTAACAGCCAACTACAGAAACCAGTTTCCCAGAAGCCAAATATCAAAGTTTGGTGGAACTGTTTAACTCCTGATGATATGAACTGTAGGTCAGACAGAGTTTAATCATCTCCATGTTGTCATTAAAAAAACCTGTTCAGGTAAAAGTGTGTCAGGTGTTAATTTTTACTATGACATGTTGATCAACAATCCCCGCCTGTGCAGCCTTCAAAACTTCAACACATTTACAAACATGCATGTAAGCTCCATCTGAGGACCACAGCACATGGGGGAAATATTTCCCTTGCAGTACACTGGCCCAATTCATTCCCATTTTAATCCGCTCACCGCTCCCTGCCTCCTTTGGTCTTGGCTTCTTAAACTTGTCTAAGTCACACTTAGTGAGAAAGGAAGGCCACGAAAGAGGGGGTATTTTAACTGCTGGTCGGTTGGACTTTTCGTCTGTTCTTCAGTACAGTACCTAGTGAATCACATCAGTGTACCAACCCATTATAACAAAGTGAAGTATTTCAGGGGGAGTTCAATAACGTGGTTGTACAAGTTTAGAAGGAAAATGAATGTCATTGGAAAGGCCCAAATTATCAATGATCTGTGATGAGTTTGACCTCTGACCCAAGAGGCTTCTTCAGTTCTGACTGACTACTGGGAAATTCTGGTATTTAACCTCAAAGGGGCTGCATACCCGTAATGAGGGTCGTTGTAAAAAGGGGGGCTGCAGGTGTGGTGAAACACCCTATTCTAAGGAGAGCGGAATGTAAAGTCAGAGTGACATTTTTGTCTGTGTCTTCCTCAGAATGAAACTGTCAGTCAGTCAGAACTGAAGAAGCCTTCACGTCTTTAAGAAACCTACTCTGTCCAGTTCCCTCGATGTAACTATTTTTTTAACACAACATGACGTTTTGCCTTTCAAACACTAACCTATGGTCAGACTGACATAGATGATGATCAAACACAGACACACTCAGTTGGTGCAGTGTAGTTTTCTGCAGCCCAGCTTTACGTCCTCATCATCTGCTGTGACAGCATTGTAGAAAATAAGAGAATTGACTGACATGGTACCGCTTTTTAATCAAAACAAAAATGCTTCAATATATAGTTAAACATGATTCGACTGCACATTGTATTCACATCTTCCACTTTTGTGTATATTTATGATTTTTGGTCATTCATTGATGTGCTATTTAATTGCTAATCCATTGAATAATGGTGAATTGTTTACCCTTTTCCATCATAGGAAAACTGACAGTCATGAAACTGTTCAGGAAGGATGCCACGGACACGAAAAAGGAGAAGCACATCAAGTATGAGGACCCTCCTGATGGAGGCTGGGGCTGGATGGTGGTGCTGCACTGCTTCTTGGTGGGTCCACAGTTATTAAATGTGATGTACATCTTTTGAGTTTTACCCTACAAAAAGGATGTCTTTTCCCTAGGGGACCCAGAGATTTTCCTTTTGTTGCATACATTTAAATTATATTTCTTTGAGGGTAGTTGAGGGTAGAAAACAAAATGCTAACCAAACAAAATGGTACGCAACAACACACTGTCACCGTGACCAAAGTCAGCAAACCCAAGGTCAATAGAACACTGACCAAGTAAATGAACAGAATCTTGACAACAGTTCTGAGAAGATAAAACTACCGGTACTTATTGTAAATAATCTTTCTCAGAGACAACACACGTTAACAATTAATCCAATTACACATGAGAACACCTCTGCCTCAGAGGCAGCTCTCGTTAATAATCAGCCTTTAATTCCTTTGAATTCTAGGTTAACGTCCTGGTGATGGGTACTCTGAAAACTTTTGGGATCTTCTTTGTGGCCTTCCAAGATGAGTTTGGGGGGTCGGCAGAGAGCATCAGCTGGATCGGATCCATCATGTCCAGTATGCGGCTGTCTGGAGGTTTGGCCTTTCATGCACACTCTCTTTAACTCTGAGTATCAGAACACGTCAGGTTTGACTCTTCAAAGTTCAGAGAACAAATGTTCTTTCTTCTTCTTCTGTATCCTCGTTAGCACCCATAGCCTCAGTGGCCTGCGCTAAGTTTGGAGCCAGGATAACCTCCATCACTGGAGCAGTGCTGGTCAGTGGAGGATTTCTCTTGAGCATTTATGCAACCTGTGTGGAGTTCCTCTACGTCAGCATGGGAGCCATAGCTGGTAAGTGTGACTTAGACCCAGGTCTATCAGTCAGGTCAGACGAACGGAGACGCTGAAGGAGTCTGAGCGCTTTCGGAATTTGCTTCCCTTATCCACACAAAAAAGTCAATGATCTGAGTTTGTTTTGCGTGCTAGAAGGCTAGAAGTGTGAATTCACGTGTTGTTCATTAAAGTTGTTTTCTTTGTATTTGTGTTAGCCTTTGGATATATATATATGTATTTGGGGGGTTTCTAAAGGGGTCTTTTTAAATATATTAAATGTCCAGTTTCCTGTGACTGACATCGTTTCTGAAACTGAAACCTTTTTAACACAGGAATGGGTTTTGCGCTACTGTATCAGTCCTTCTCTGTGGTCATGGCTCAGTACTTTCGAAAGAGGTTAGCCACAGCATATTCGATTGCACGTTCTGGAATGGGCTTGACCTTTGCCCTTGCTCCATTCACTCAGTTGCTCCTGGATTGGTATGCTTGGCAAGGTAGGCCACATAAATATTTTCATTAGCAGACTCCATTTTGTTTTGGTTAACTTATGAGATTTATTTGTGTCCCAAATCAAGGAGCCATGTTGATATTCGGTGGCATGATGCTGAACCTGGTGGCCTCCGGGATGCTCCTGCGACCCATCAATGTGAAACCTCCTGCGCTAAACTCTACCTCTTCTCCCATCCAAAAGAGTCCTACTGTTTCCCTCAAGAGCTCCTCTGAGAAAGAACTCACTAAGAGCTGCTTAAATGGCTCCTCTCACCTAACCAATGGCATCGCCAGGTCAGACTCCTTCCCATCCCCCCCTCCTCCTCACAGAAACACTGAGAACCTGGAGGGCCAGTGTACTCAGGGACCCCAAGACCAGGCAGTGAAGCCTGAACTGACCAGACTGGTCCACGGTGGTGCGAATGGTCACGAGCCCCACCATGACACGAGTCAGTGTAAACCCACAGCTCCAGAGAGCTTAGCCGAGCTCAGCAGCAGCATGAACGGATTCTCTTCACCTGCCAGTTTACCCACAGAAGTCAACAAACCCAAAGTGTTGGATTTCTCCCTGCTTAAGAACCCATTCTTTTGCATATACACTTGGTCAGTTGTGTTCAGCCAGCTGGCCTACTTCATCCCCTACTTCCACCTGTCGGCCCGGGCCAGGACCCTGGGCATCGAAGCCATGGATGCTTCATTTATCATCTCTGTGGCAGGTGAGTCCCACACTTCTCAGAAGTTCGTATTGTTACCTTAAAGTTATAGATTAAGATTCTCAACAGTAAAGTTTGATGAGATCTTGATATGAATTTCAGCACGCTGCGGTTTACTTTGGCTACAGCTGGTTCTAGTTGTGTATTATAGATTAAAGAACACTCTTGACAAATGTGTCATCAAAGTGCAGGGCGTATGGGACATTATTTGCCATTAAGCCTTTTAATGTAACGATGCACCGGCATAAACTGTTTAATGGGTTCAAATCCACCTAGACCCCGTCTCCCGAAGCCTGGGGTGACGGTTGCAGCAGAAAAGAGCATCCAGTAATTTACTTTGGAGTCTCCCACAGTGGCAACCCTTATTAAAAGGGGAGAGCAAGTGAGGGATACTTGATATTTCATACTCTAAGAGTAAGAGTAAATCTGTCTGCTGCTAACTGCAGGACAGAAAACGACTTTAAGCCATTCAAATCCACTGGCATTAGTAATAAAGTAATAGATGAGAGAGCCGTGCCACAGCACAGGACCTACACTGGATAAAAACTGGTCGTTTTTTTCTGGGCAATTAAAATGGCATCATCCTGTCTGACAGATGGTGTCGGCGTCAAAATTCAATGCCCAGACTTAGAACAAAAAAGGTTAAAAAAAAGAAAAGAAATGGGCAGCAAGTCATAAAGGCACCTGAGTCAAACCTAATAATATATATATTAAAGATCCTCAGCTTTAACTATAGAGCTGCTCTATGGAGCTTTAACAACCGGTACTTATGAATCATCCGACCAATCAGAAGCCAGACTGGGCTTGAGTTCAGTTATCAGTTACTCGTACTCTTTCATAATAAGTTGGTCGTATAAATAAAGTTTTTTATTATTATTTTGCCATGTAGTACTGATTTACAGGGATTTTACAGTGATTTCTGCTCAAAATCAGCTCCCACCAGACAACTTGTAGCCATTAATTATTTGTTAGCTGCTCAGTCTCTGCAGTCTTATGTAATGGGTGTTCTTACATAAAGGCTGATCTTTGGTCCAGTGGCCAGAGTTCAGCAGCAGTATGCCACACTGATGAGGCCTCACCATATGAACAGGAAACAGCATTAGCTGTGAGTCCACAGACCACATGCACGTGTTCCTTCTCATGCTTTATAAATAATTAAAACACTAGAGATGAGGTTGTGTGTTTGTGTCAAACGTCCTTCTGTTGTGCAATCTAGGTACTGTGGTATCATTCAGTATCACAGATTTTAGGATGTAGTGATTATCTTCCTGAGGGCCTGAGAGTTTCTTTCGTGGTTCTCAACCTAAGGTGATAAAATTTAAAATATACTGAATTTTAAATCTCTTAAAAATGTGAACTTTTGGCCCACGTCTGTCAGAGTGGTACACGTTACCACACTGCTTCCAGAAGGAACGTTTTATCTAGGGTCATGTTACAAGTCTGGTTCTTTTAACTAGATCCAGGTCTTAGCTCCGTCTGAGCCTCGATCGTGATTTGTTTTTGTATATTTTGATTTTGGTTTCAAGCTCAGCTAACATTTAGTTTAACTTCAGTTTTTTAGCAGGCAACATGAAAATGAAAGGGACAAATGTGTGGAGGAGTATTTGCAAGTGTTGTCACCCAACAGAAAGGTCAGCAGTTCAAGCCACAGATTGAAAGATACTATTTCTGTGTGGAGTTTCTCAGGGTTCCTCCCTTATTTGCTCGGGGGCCGTTCAACAGTATTAGTTGGTTTTTGCATCTGCCTCCCTCCTCCCATCAAACGTCTACAGAACTGTAATAAAATCTGTCTGACGACCAATCTTTCATACAACTCGTGTCATGTTTGTTCTGTCAGATTGTCTGCTTGTGCGCAGTGTTTTATGAGAGAATACAGAGATAGAGACGGAGCCACAGGCGTCACGCCCACCACAAAGACACTGTTCCAGTGTCCTGTAGTTTCTCTTTCCCCAACGTGGTGCCTGTGACTGAGCCGGGCAGTGGAAGCCACCATCATCCGGGGGTCAATCTGTCGGTCAACTTTCAGTCCACCAGCACTGCAGCTAACTAAAGTCTCTAAGCAACAGCTCACAGAGTAAAGATGCTGACATGGTGACAAGAAGAGCTCTCAGTATTGCTCCTGTGCAGTTCTGGAGAGGCTGACACTGACAGAAGAGCGCTGAGGCAGCAAAGAGGTTTAAATTCAGGTCGGCAACTACCACAGAAGAAAATCAATACTTGCTTTTATAACTTCCTAACATTGGTCCGGTGACAAGATCTGTGTATAAACATAATAGGAGCAGGAACTCTAATACGAAGGAACAGGAACTCATATAATACTTTTATAATGGTAAAAAGGCAACACAAGGTTTCTATGTTTGTTTATCTGATGTCCTAAAATCTCAGGTTCAAAAAACTCAAACTACTCCTGGTATTGTCCCTAATGTCTGGCAGGAGATATTTGATTGAAATATTTGTCTATGTTTCCACTGACTCCATCAGAAAATACACTATAGATAAAAGTTGTTGTAGTTGTAACATTTGTTAGTTGACCAAAACTTCCAAGGGAGTGTTCAACTGCATATGCTCTTTATACAATGTCAGGCAGGATAACGACTGTTGGCGTCCAAACCAAAGTCCCGCTGTACTTGGCCCTGGAGTGTGTCCATGTGACCCACACAGTGGCATACCCGTTGGTACTATTCAGTGGGGAAAGGACTAAAAGTTAAAATCGAAGCTTAAGGAGCTACTTAGAGAGGCCGAATTTAAGATGCCGTATGAACAGGAACAGCTGCAGACTTGGATCAACCTGCTGCAGCTTGTACACACAAACAAAGTCACATCATATCTGAATGCAAGCAGGGACACCCCAGGACACCGTCTTTGGTCAATGGAGGAGGACACACAAACATAGCACAGCTGCTTCGAGCCATTATTCACACTGTGGTCTGGAGAGACTTCCTCAGTCCTGTTATGTAAGTTAAGCAGAGGCGTTTGCTGATGAAGCATCTCATCCAATGGCTCTAACCTACAGGGGGTGATGTGGTATCAACCCGACGGTCGGCAGTGCCAACTGACAAGTGCAACCGACTTAACACTCCAAAGAAACAGATAGCTGCTTTCTTTGAGTGTGAACGGGACCACCACCTCAATCACCAAAGACTGCAGAGAACAGTGGTTTTTTCTTTCTACACATTATATTACAGTCTAGAAAATTTGATAAAATCGCAAAGAAGCCCAGAAAAAGTTCATATGAAGCAGAACATGCCTTTCACTGGTGTTTGCAGCAGCGATGCAGAGTCTGACCAGAGGATGAGTAACTCTGATCTGCACAGAACCAGTTTGCTTCATTGATCAGTGGCTAAGCTCAGCCTGCTTGTTGCTATTCCTGTGACGGTCAATACGCTCCTGCAGTTTCCATACTGCCTATCCTGTTCCAGTTGACCTCAGCAGAAAGCAGCACAAATCTTTTCTTTGTCAGTCATACCAGTATAGTACAAAGGCTGGTCGTTTACATACACCACACCTGCAGCTGCCTTGTTCCATTACTGAAACATCACTTCATTACAGAAGCTACATCCTTCCAGAACAAGGTTTCATGACCTTGTCTGTTCAAAACTCTTCTTCTGAGGTTCCGGCTCCTCCCTCAGGTGATTCAATGTGGCAGCATTAAGAACAGTTTTTTAACTGCAGGAGCCAGATGTTGATATGATAAATCACACAAAAATGTGATTTTCACAGAAGCTGAGCTTTATGGCCACCAGATCCTGCAGTTCTGCAAAATGATTGGAGGAACTGTTGAGGATGCACCAGGGTTCACGAGTGACGTCGAAAGACAAACTGCAGTTTGTTCTGTGCTTTATTTGGTGGTGTGGCCTAACCAAACTAGTCGGGCCAAACTGAAACTGGGTTATCAGAGAACTTCAAAAATTTGCATTGCAAATGTATAACAAAACTTGAAAAGCTGTTGCCAAGTAGAGATCAGTAAGGGCTTGGAGCTTCACGTATGTTGTATGACAAATATCAGCCAATACAGACACTATTTACTGACAATTACAAAACAAAACAAAGCTAACTGCTAAGGTCTACCCCCAGGACCAACATGACTTTCTCTATGAGACATGTAGTTGCTGTGTATAAGTAATTGTACCAATATGACTGCACCCCCAGGGTTTTCTGTCTCCTATTTTCCTTAATTCCCTCTACCTGTTTTTCCTTTCTTTCAGGTATAACGGAGACCATTTCGCAGTTAGCCTCAGGCTGGGTCACTGACAGGAATCTGTTCCATAAATACCACTACCACAAAGCCTATCTGATTCTCTGTGGCCTGGTCAACCTTCTCTCCCCTCTGGCAGATTCCTACATCCTGCTCATGGTCTACGCCGTCTTCTTTGCCGTCTTCTGTGGCGGCTACATGGCTCTGCTGCTGCCTGTTCTAGTAAAGAAACGGTTTTATCTTAACCTTTTACACATGTGCTCCCTCTTAAAACACCACCTGTTTTCAGTTAGAGCCTCACAAATGTCCAGGTTCCTTTAGTTGGTTCAGTTCTATGGAAGCGTGAAAATGTACCAGGTTCCCTCTTGTTAAAGGGAAAATGCAGCATTCTTTGCTACAATGATAAACCTTCTTCCTTCATAGTTAACACAGTAGTAGGTCAATTGTCCTTTAGTTTAATAAACAGGTAAATTGTTTACATTATGTACATACTCATGCCAAGGTGACACAGTAGTAGGAAATGAGTAGGTCCTGGGTACGATTCCCCCTAGCCCTGAATTCCCAAGCCTAGTGGGTTGGTTTGCATCAGAGAGGTCACTTGTTGTTTAAAAAAACCCTGTCAAATCACTGGGACTGAGCTGAGAACAAATTAATAAAAATAAATAAATATGGTACTTTCTGTGGGAACATGAAATATATTGGGCTCTGGGGGCTAGTAATTGAAGACTGTAAATAAGATACATCATCTGAACTAGCTGTGAAGCCATAACTGTTTCCCAGGAAGGCATTACGGCTGGTCATTCATTTAGAGCTCAGCTAGAAAACGTTAAAATTATTCTACAATATCAATCAGAAATCAACAAATATAAAACTTTACACCACAATTATTGTGTCAACTAACTATGCAACACAAAAGAGTTTTTATTCAGAGATGTATTATTTTTAATAATCAGTCTCATCTGAGGTTCAGTTAATCTGCTAACAACATCCTTTTTACTTCTTTTCTTTGGGGTTTTAGTGTAGTTGTGCTATCATATAGTAAATAGTGTTGTTATAACATAGTCAGCCTTTACTAGTACTTTTTTTCCACCTTGAATGCCTGCCACTATAAAAATAGAAAATGCAGACAAAGGGTATCAGCCCTGAAGTCGTATATTTTTTCGTAGCCTATTGAATTGAAAGAGCGTAGAATTCAATGTTTCCCTTCAGTTTTAGGACATTTCCTGCTTGAATTATTAACTCTAATTGGCATGTTAGCTACACAACGGAAAGAGTACATTTTATTCTGAAAATCAGAACAAAAAGCATTTTGCCATAAAAGGTTAGTATGGGCAGTTCAGGAAACTACAGTGTCGTGTGCTCTCTGTATCTGTGTGACATTTTACACACAATAACCAACAGTGTCACTCTTGCTATTATATTAGCCAGGACTGCATTTCCTCTACAAAACAACACAGTATCAGACTACACAATCTTGTGAATAATAAATATTTAAGTACTGTGTCACGGTGTCACACCAACTGTCGTTATGGGTGGGACAACGTTTGAGTTCAGTTGGAATCAGGTGAAGACAGAATAACGTATTGTATGTGGTGTGACTTGAGTCAAAGGTCAGGACCTGCCTCAGGCCAAATGGCTGAGCCTTTTCAAATGTGATGACATCAGCTGTGAGCTGTGTTAGTCCAGAGTGTTCAGACCCAGCAGGTTTATTTATAGGGCAGGTTTTAGACCCAGGTTGTTCTAATCACTTGTACGTTTCTCCAATCTCATCTTTGACGCCTGTGATTTTTACCAGTTGATAACGATTGTGGTGACAAATTCTGCTCTCAAATGAGACGTGTCTCTCACACAGACAGGGTACAAAAAAATTACACTGGGTTCATTTCAATATATATATATATATATAAATCATATAAAGTAAAAAATCTTTAATGGCAACTTATTTCTGGGCTGATTTAAGCTAATTTTCTGATTTGATTTTTGGCTAATTGGCTAGTTTCTATATTTTGGTAAACTTTTATCATTTTATGATTTTAGTTTAAACTAAATATTAGCTTAAGCCTTATCTTTACAAGGTTAACCATTGACTTTCTCCAGTCCTTTTTGTCTTATCTTTAGCTAATTTCTTGCTGTTACAGTAACTTTTTCCCATCTTGATTACAGTTTATCTTGAATTTCCCTGTGTTATTTAACCTTTGAACGACCTTTTGCTCATTGCTCTGCCATCATAGTGGAGCTGGTGAATATGGGATGAAAATGTATTTAATCCAATTCCCTTTCTAAAATTAGTTGATATGAATGGAATGTTTACATTTTTATACTGTCCCATTCCCAGGGTGAGTCTATTTCTACCTTAGTGTGTCACTGTGCCTAACGTACATACAGGTATATACGGCAGATATTTGATCCTAAAATATGCTGATGTAGTTCAGCAAGGGAATTTTTGACATTATTTCAGATGTTATCTAAGACGCTGCTTCACCTACACGTTGACAGGTCTGTGCTTCAAGTTGACAGTTTGTCAGTGTAATGTTGAAAACCTCAGGCTGACAGGAGACAAATATAAAACGGTGATTGACATCTGTTGGCACAGCCAAGGAAAGGAAAGAGAAGTGAAGTAAAGGAAAGGTCTTGAGCAAACACATGTAGATTATATAGATGCTGTATGAGTTTCAGCCTGTGTTCTGTGTTGCTTCTCAGGTTGATCTCGTGGGAGCAGAGAAAGTCAACAACTCTATGGGCTTCTCCATGTTCTTTGTTGGCCTGGGCTGCCTTACAGGGCCCCCTTTAGCAGGTGAGTTGATCCTTTCACGGAAAACTTTAACCCACTTTTCCAAACGCAATCTTTAACCAGCATGTATTGTACATGTGCAATGCATTTGTGAAGGATTATGGCCAGCATGACATCACTGTAGGGGGAAGGTTTCCTGTTACACAATGTGCAGGCTGAAGTTTGCACACATGTCAAAGTGTTTTCTAACTGTCAGTTAATGAATGGAGGGATTTAAAGCCTTCTCATATACTCTTTTCTTACATATATTGGAAAGGACTTTACAGCACATACTTCTCTGGGGCCCTAAATTCCTCGCAGTGCTTCTAAATTTGTGTTTGCCTCTCTGTGTGTATGCAGAGGCCACAGTGTGAAGAGTGAACCTGACAGGAAAAAAACAACCTATAGTTAGTGCTGCTCACCACAAAGACAGGGAATTAGTTTTGTTTTATTTGGGCTTTTTTGGGTGGGCGGGTGGGGTTGGGCGGGGGTTGATCAGATTTAATCCTGAATCCAAGTATGTTGTTGTTTGTTCATGTCAGGGGTTTAAGTCGCTTCGATGACGTGATGACAGGCTGTTACTACAGGTGTGGAGAGATGTTTCTAATCTGGGATCAGTTTTTTTTGTTGCATTGTTTTTGTCAGATCAGGTTATTTCACAGTTTCCCCTGCTCACTATGACTTTTCTAGGTCGGTGTGAAAAAAGAGACAGTATCATCACCTGGTCAACACGTGGCATAGACTGTGAATGATGAACTAAAAAAACGAATGGGTCACTGACAAACGTACCAATCTTTTCTTGGCAACATAAAGTATTTCTAGAAAAAAACGACCCTTGCGGGTCTTGATATCTGGCCCTAGTTAAAGTGTGTGTGTGTGAGGGTTTTTCCTTGAGATTCCTGGTACAGACACTTGATATGGGTTTAAGGGTTAAAACGTGTCTTCTTTGAGGTGGTATGGAAATAGCATGTGGCTCTGTTTACCATTCCTGTGGTTAAAGCAAAGACTTGCAGTGCACAGATCTGCCTACAGGCTGCAGGTTGTGACAACACCCTCCTTCTGCTGTTCCTTCCCTCAGGCTAATCTGTCTGTTTTAGCAGCAGCAGCAGCAGCTGCACTGTGAATATACTGTAACTGCCTTTTCTTTGTCTCAGACCAGTTGATCTGTTGGAAATAAACACTCACATGAGAGAATTTTAACTACACTAGGGAAATAACTAACTGTCAAATTAAATATAAGAATATGTATGCATTAATAACTTTGTCCATTTTAAGCTAACTCCTAGCTAACCTTTTGTATCTATTTACATTATCAAACAAAGAGATGCAAAAGTAATTCATTTTTATCGATTTGTGTTATCGCTAACCTAATTTGTAGCTTTCTGGCTAAATAATTATTGATACTGTCTGAGCTAGCACTTAGCGATATCATAGACATTTACCTCTTTATGTAAACTAGAAATTTTAACCTCTCACAAATTCCTCACTATTTTGTAGAGCATCATTTTGTTGACAGTTCTTTAAGCCTGTGTTTTTATTTACTAAATTACATTTTTATTATGATTATTTTTGGAACTACATAAACACGTTTTTTTTTACCTTAACCTAGTGAAGTCCTTGTGTAAAACACTGCCCATGCTATTCTCATTGTCACATTTTTTTAAGGGTTGTGTGAATGAAAAAAGGAAAAAAATCTGTATATACGGTGGGAAACAATAGAGGAGACACTATATGAAAGCATGAGAATGGCAGAATGTTTCAGATCTTACTTAACAGTATGGCTCAGCAAAGTTGTCGATTTGTACCGTTAATAAGAACAAGGAAGCAATTAAAAAGAAGCTAAGGTTGCCAAAGACTGACTGTGATCACCAAGCAAAGATCTCTGACATTAGAAGAAGTGGAAAAGGTGCTACTGATTTGGATCAATGGAAAGCAGGGGGAAATTGTTTCAGTTTTGGAACTTTTCGGTTCATGAACAGCCTTCAGGAAAGAATTAAGTTCGAAAATCAAGGTTCCACAGTGTATGTGTATATATATACTGTATATATAAAATGTACATTAGATAGTAGCTCTGCTCTCATGATGAGGCTGTGGTATCGGTTGATGTTTCCCAGGTTTCCTCTATGACTACACCCAGACCTACGACTGTTCCTTCTACCTGGCTGGACTGTGTTATCTCCTCTCCTCTCTCTCCCTGTTCATGGAGCCACTGGCTCAGCGTTGGAAAAGCAAGAGGGAACTCAGTCAAACCAAGCGGGCGGAGGGAAGCTGCAAGACCAATGGCTGCTTCAGCCCTGACCGTGCAGAGAACGGTGCGGTTTAGGAACTTTTGGTGTTGAATGAGCGTGGTCACGACCGGACCATGGGCCGACGCACATTGGACCAGCTTAAAGTTGGAACTGTAGTGACTTAATCTCTTTAAGCTCGTTATATTGACTGGAGAAAAGACGAAGAATGTGACCACCGTAGCATAATGTATAAACATACAGTAGTCAGGGAAATAGTGAAATGTTAAGTTGGACTTTTGAAGAAGCCAAAATTGTATCTTGTCTTCCTTTTGTAAAAGTATATACATGGTAATAGTGAGGGCCCATAAAGACAAATAAAACAATGAGTTGCCAACACAAAGGGTTGGCGTTTTCAAGGTCAAAAAGTGGTATTAATGGGTGAAAAAGTTGGTCCATCATACACTGAGTTGCCCTGACGTCCCAGTCATTTGTCAACACAGACTAACACAGACTTCAGGAACCTGCTCTTTCACATGCTTAAATTATCATTACAAGTGTAATTCAACATCATTTAAGAGCTGTGTTATGTTTTTAAGAAAGCAAATAGTTAGACCCCCAGGTGGGTTTGGAACATATTGACCTACTGGCGACTTAGTGAATCTTACTAACACATTTTGTTTTTTGTTTGTTTGTTTTTTTTTTTTAAAGAAGGGCCTGTTTTTTTAAGGTAATACAAGATCTGTTTTTTGTTTTTTTAGTGCTGCTCTGACACGAGTTATGGTGACTCCTGATTTTGAAACTCAAAAACTAAATTTACCAACATCTTTTCAGACACCAGACACTTAGATAGACACCATATATCATCTGAATACAATTTTCCGTTTTTTTTGGTGACACACCCAAAATAACACAACACCTCAAAGAAAAGCAGTCTCCTTTGGGCCTAATAATAATAAAGTACGGTAAATAAAAAAATGAATCGCTGCCCATCACGCTTCAGAGAAAACTGAACAAATAAGCCGTCAAAAATAATTCCTGGAGTTAAATTAGTCATTTTAGGAACATGCCATGTTTATAGTAAGAGTGAACTACTGTGTTTGTTTATATACATGCACACATTATGGTCTTAATACACAAATTTTCAAGGTTGTTCAGAACACTGGATCACATGTTCAAACTCGCATCATCTGTTTTAATGCTTTTATTTACAAGATTTGTGTCTTTGAATTATGTCTTTTATTTATCGTCCCATTTATTCATAAGTTGTATCCGAGTATTTGTACTTGACAAAAACAGTAAATGTTTCAATGCATCCGACTGTAGCCACGTGTTAGCAAAGGTGAAGCAGTAGTGGACTGAAAGTATGAATGGCTTTTATTTTTTCAGGTCTACATCTGATGCTCTGCTTTCTTAGCCAACACATTTAGATCAAATATTTACACTCCAGTCTGTTTGAAGTCCTCACATCAACAACTTTGTACAATCTGTGTTACCTATATGTTGAGACACTGCTCGACAGTCAAAATATTCTATGCAATGAATTCATTTTTTTAAAATTTCCTCACAGTCGGAGCACGGCCCATTGTAATGATGTTGATTTTTATACGATCTATCTTTTTAACTCTTTGACTAAGTGTGTTTTAAAATTGTTACTGGACCCATGGGCCCCAAACTGACTGTTGCCTAGACTTCACAGTGCCTGCAGCAGCAATGGCCTTTGACAGCAATGCCATTTATGACTTTGTTGTGTTAATATTTGGGATTCTTAATTTCCTGAGGAGTCGAGGGGGTTGTTTTCCACCAGTTTGCCTTACAAGATACTGTATCGCATCTTTACTAAGTCCCTGTGATGTCAGCCAAAGACACGTTAGACACCGTTGTTAATTGGGAGTTTAGACATTGCGAATGGCCTGAGAATAATGTGTTTTGTTATGCTGCCCTCTTGTGGCAGATGAAGACACCTGCTTAAAGAATGTCATTTCAATTAGAGGCAAATTATTTCCCCTCAACTCACACTCTCAATACGGAGAAAAGGCTCTTTGTATTGTTTCAATAACGACAGTCACGAGCAAAAGCTGTTCTGGCTCGAGAGCTGCATTCACTTCACGGTCAACACGAAGGCCATCTGGGTATTTTTTTTCCCCCACTACCAATAAACTTTTGATATATAATGCTTTAAAATTAAGTAGATTTGGTGTTGGGTCTCTGTCCTAGTTATTTGAAGTTATTTTAACTTTTTTTGTTTGAGCAATACTTTTTATGGCTCTTGATTGTGTTTGACATCTGAATTGATCTCATGCTCGTGTGCATCGAGGCTGTTGTTTTACTGCTCCTACCACTGGGTGTGTCTTTAGCTGGTAGTGTTTAGGAAAATGAGTTAAACTGATCATAAATGCCTTGTTTCAAACCTTGTATTGGTGCACACACAGCTAAAATAAACAGACCTGTGTCTCAGACTCTTTCTGTGTGGGATTAAAAAAAAAAAAAAAAAATGGAAAAGATGGAGAAATTCATCTCATAGCAAAAAAACCACCAACCCACAAACACACATTGTATTATAATTCATACATTTTATTGACAAGATTTTTTTAATGTTTACACATTAATATTACACTCAGTACCATTCTGACATTTTTCTACCCTTATTAAACCTCTATTTCAAAAAAATAATTACATTAAAAAAATAAACTTAAATCAGTTAAAACAAACAAGGAAGTTACCTTACCTGAGAAGGTAAGACTGGGTGGCTGAATTTGTCATCCATCGATGGCCTGCTGGCACCAACTTCCATCCTGTAGAATCTCTGAGGATAACAGAAAACATTACTTTTTTAATATTTATAATTATTATAATAATTACAAAACAACAAATTGAAAGCACAGGTGGAAGACGGTGGAAGATATAAATAAATCTACATTAATATATTTTTTATCAGCAAAGGTAGTGAGATAAAATTATTTTAGTATTTTTACACATACAAACCTGTAGTAGAACTTTTGGTAGCCTTATTTTTGGAGGGAAAAAAACACTCATGATGTAAGAAAAAATACATATAAATATTTTTAAACATGATGACAACAAATTATACTTTTCACATCAGTGTTCAAAAGTCAAATTGTCCAGCATTTATTGACCAACAAAATTTCAAGACCAGGGCGAATGATAACCAATCGATTTTGGGTTTCTTTGCTTAATTTCCCCAAGTATTACAAAAATACTTGATATCACACATTCTTTGGAGAGGTATTTTGATAAATATGTTTTTTATACAAATGATTTACATTAGAGAATCATTTCTAAGCTTTTACATAAACTTTTACTTTTTAAATATTTCTTTCCTTAAAATGTATGTGTCAGACCTCACTGAGATTTTTGTGTGCACAAATTAATTATTTACTGAAATTAACCAAAACTGACCTGTTAGTTGAGGCATAGCACAAACCACTGATGTGCATCATGAGGCTGCAAACATCTAAGATGAGTAAAAAAAAAAGAAAAATATTTAGTGACACTTAAAAAAATACAAATATATTCACATATGACACTATACATATATGTACATATACAGTTATATGTAATTTACATTTTCTTATATTTATTCAAGATATTTACAAATACTGTTCTAGGTTAGCAGGTTAACTGGGAAGATGATGATTATAAAAGGAACCCACCAAATTGTCTGCTCACCTGAAAACAATCTTTCTCTGTTAAATGTTTCAGTTGTCTACAGTGACAGTAGCTGTGTTCAGCAGACTTGGAGGATGTGCAGGATTGATTTTCCTGTGTGTCCGAACCTCTTTGGAGTCTGTAATCAACATTAGAAATTAAATTAGTGTCTGTTCAACAACAATGACTACTTTAGTCAGATATAATCCTGCAGGTATTTTCCTGTTAGCTACTAATACATGTTGCAGTGAAATGCCAAATTACACAGTGTTTAAAAGTGTACCAGCTTTTCTGAAAAAAAAAAGTGCTAAAAATAAATCATGTTTTCACCAATCTTTCAATCATAGTGAGTCGTTTGTGTACAAGCAAAGGTGAAGCATACAATCAAAAACAATATTGGCCTCTGTATTTTTTAGTGTGAGATAATACATTTTTGTAATTATAAAATTCATACTTCATACAAATATTTTTTTTTTGTATTGTAGTATTTTTTTTATCTAACCAAATATTTTTGATCGCAGTCCTTTTTTTCCTCCCAATAAAGATAATATTGAAAATCTTATACTATGCAGTATTTAAGATCACCTAGAAGGAGGTTCAGCCGGCATGTGGTAAAACCTCACTCACAATTCTTCTAAAGTATGACCAAATAGTTATAAAACAAGTCCTTCATTTGCACGGCTGATAAATGTAGAGCCTCACTGTCATCCATTAAACTTTGTGTGGGCACTAAAGTGTTACGGTGGGCAGTAAATGATCCCATTATCTCAGGCCTTGGATTAGTGCCAATGAATATCAAAGTAAACTACTTCAGTCCATGGTTTAGATTAGAACTAATGGAGTCATTTGCATTTGTTAACATGTGGTGTTGACACCTTGTACTTACCACTGCTGCCTCAGCCACCGACACAGACCTGGCGGGCAGCACTCAGTGCTCTTACTCACCATTTTCCCCGTTGTATACCGCAGTTAAATAACAGCTCAGTCCTCCGCGTCTGCTGTGATGTAGCTGTGAGTGGAGAGGCAGTTGCTCCTCGGGTCCTCGTGGTGGCACTGTTTCTTCGGTGACAGGAGGCTCCTCCTCAGCACAGAGACTCAGGGGTTCTCTTGCTAATGTGACTAATCATAATGGCAGGAGGTAAAGGAGGTGAAGTTTTTGTTTTCTCCTTCTGGCTACAGTAAGAAAAACAGGCCTCCTAGAGGATGTTTGCTGCAAATGTGCATCCATGGTGTGCATTCCCCTCCATGCTGCTGCAGACTTCAGGCGTCACCACGTACACAGCTTCACACACGCCTCTTCACTCGTCTCCTCAGAGAGGCTTTAGTCAGAAGAGGACCCCATAATGACGGTCAAACAATATTCCCAGCTGACGTAGAGCTTCATCTTCTTCATTCAGCCATGCCGAACATCAAGATGAAATCAAATCATAAGTGAGGAAATAGTATGAAACAGACAAATCAGCCCTGCGGCTCAGCTCGGCCTCTGAACTGAAGATGCTTTGGCAATTTTCAAAGCAGGGTCAACCACAACATCTCAAGTGGAGAGTGTGATACCAGTGCTGGAATTTCCACAAATCCTATTTAGAACCAGGAACAAAGCACAGGAAAGCTTAGGAATAAGGAGTGGGGGTGGAACAACAGGATACTGGCCCAGTGACCCCTCACTCCCCGGCTGCACCGCTGTCTGATTCTGCAACTGTTTCACACTGCACTGCTGCAAACAAGGATGCAGAGGCTCCTCCGTCCAGGTCAGATGTTCTCCAGCCGAGGGAAACAGCTGCAGAGAGAATCTATGGTGGGCAACTTAGGAGCTTGACATCAAGCACGTAAAGCAAACGAAGATCCTCACATGAGAGCAGGGGTCTCTCTTTGCTGTGGCCTAAAACAAAGTGCAAACCGTCTCCCTTTTTCGTGTGTGGAAACAAAACATCAAGTGACAACTCCTTCCAAACACAACAAGGAAAGGCAGCCCGTTTCTTCAATTCACTTCCATCGAAGAAACACGTTTCCCTTCAAATGAACAATTTATTGATAATCGGTCACATTCAGTGCCAAAACTGCACTTTCAGGTATGTGAACAGCTTCTCATGGGCTTTATGGATTTTCCTTTTTCCATGACATCATAGTGTACATTGCTCATTTTTCCCCCATTTTAAACAGTCATCACGGGTGCAGATGGACTACACAATTTAAAAGCGGCCTCAGCAGTGACAGAAAAACATATGTCGCTCGCTTTCTCTTGGGAGGTCATCAGCTCTCCTCTTCTCAGGAGTCCACAGTCGCAGTGAGTGCGATGTTGAAAGATAATTTTTCAAACAAATGAATGTTTCCAAAAATACATAAAACCAAACAAACAACAGCAAATTATAGCCAAGTTAAGAGGGCACTTGCACGGTGACAATCACAGGGTGGCATTGAAAAAAGATGGTGACTATAGAGCTCTGAGAACATTAGCAGTCACAAATGAAAACAGTGTCAAATTTAGACCTTGAAAATAACTGTTAAAGTGCTGCTTAACTTGTTAAAAAAAAACAAAGACTTGGACTTTGCCTGTGTTAAAACAATGAAGTAAATTGTCGTTGTTGCTGCTGTGAGATAACTATCAAATATTAGTCTGGTTTTTATCAATAATAACAGTACTTTCTGCTAATTAAAATTGAACAAAGATAGAGACAAGTAGTTTGAAATGATGAGGAAAATTAGCAGAACATGTCATTTTTTTTCATAGAATTAAGCATGTTCTATTGCAACTGGTTAGTAATAAGCATTTTAGACAGAGATTGACATTTTTTATGTACCACCTATTCACCACCAGGGTAAATTACCATAACTGTTAATGTTCAGATTGTAAGAAACAAACAAAAAAAAAAAAAAAGACCAAATGACGAACTTTAACACGTTGTGAACCACAATTAAAAATCTAGGAAACTGACATGTTTGATCTAAACGGTTGCTGATCTTTGAGACACTAACACGAGAACAAGGAGTAAGCTTCAATGAGTGCTCTTAAAAAAAGATGACTTTCTTCACACAGCTTTCAAATTACGGAACACTTTGTCTGCATCTGGATGTTAACACGATGGCAACATAACCATGGAATGTGTGTTTAAAAAAGACCAATTCTGTTCAGATCATCTTTGTAACACAGTACCAAAGTCTGTCACTACACTTTTAATGAAACCACAAATGTCAGTTTCTCTCTGTTAACTTTTGATTATCTACCAATACATTTTTTAAATTAAATCAAAATTCTCACTTAAACAGTGGCTCAACGCTTTATAGTGGATCCACTCTGATTTAACTCATGTGAGAACCAGGTTAGAAGGTAAACACAACAACACCTGCACAGGAAACACAATCTTGTTTGGGATTTTAACAATAAACACAGGTTTTGGTTGAGTCACATTTAAAAGTTTTGTGGATTAAACCTTATGATATAGTTTTATTTTTTTAGAGGTGTTATTGTGTTTTTTCCCCCTAGAATGTCACTATTTTAAGCATTTTCTTGTTTATTTAAACTGTTTACCAACATTTAACAAATGCACTGTGTAGGATTTAGCAGCATTTTGTTATAACTGAATATTTCTTAAATTTTGCCCAAGAACGTGTTTAGTTATTACTATTTAAGCACAAGGAATTTAGTTTGCCTTCCATATAAAATGCCTAGTTTGTAATGTAATTAAAAAAGTTCTGGCATAACAGAAAAAATATTTTCACTTTTTTTTTTAAACATACAACTAATGGCAGTAAAACTACTTTATATTCCAATTTCATGAGGAAAAAATTGTATATAAAGTAGTGTCACCTAAATCTTACACAGTGAACCCTTTAAACATTAGTGAAAATACTGTTTTCAAATGTTTCTCTTACCATGTGACACTGAATTTTATAACTTGCATGCTAATAACGTTTAAATGCATTCTAACATTCTTACTGCAGGATTTTAGGATCTGTGAACATTTTATAACCTATTAAAATAATTTCAAAACCATACCACCTTTGTTGAGTTTGAGGAAGGGAACTCTGTCCTTTTTAGTGGATTACATGGCAACATACAAACACTCAGGAACCATACCTTTGCAACTCATAATGCAAAACACACAGCATGCAATAGTTACTGACATACAGCAGAATTTCTTTTGTTTACATTAGGAGAACTTAGTGTGTTCTGCTTTTTTTTTTTTTTTTTTTTTTTTTTTAAGATGCTCCACGAACAACAATCATGACTAGATAGTCCTCTTCACTTTTTGCCAGAGCTTTGGCAGAGGAATCCAGGAACTGCTGCGAGAAATCACAGGGAGGGAATGCATGAAGAACCCCCGTGTTGTCTTTATCCCTGCTCGCTCCCACAGGTAGACTGATGACTCCTGCAGCTTGTTTTTGGTTGAGGTAGGACACCAGGTTCCGGAGAGGACGCTGAGTAGAGACTGCAGGATCAGATGAAGATGAATCCTCTGTAGGCCCAGGGACTGCCAGCAGGATGGCGTAGCCATCAGGACCTGCGACTTTGATGCGTCGGGACACCTCGTCAAGCTTAGGCTGGTCCAGGCGGAGCCGCTGGGTGATCTTTAGCTCGCTCACCTGCCGCCCCGTTGAACCATCGACCAGCAGGTCAGTAGCCACATTGTAGTCTCCTTCCAGCAGGTGCATGTTGGCTGGAAAGTTGCTATTCTTTAGCAGTAGCATACCATGCCAGGCCAAACTGAGCCTGGTGCCCTCTGATTTGGACAGCTGACCACCTTTGGAGCTGCTTTCTGGACGTTCTCTTTTGGCTGGCCCTTTACTACCATCACCTGCTTTACGTTTGCGCTCACCAACCACTGAAATACTGCTCCCTGGTGGTGCCTTGTCAGATAGAAACTGGCTTTTAAGTCTTCTTTCAGCACCAGCTCTTTCAAGGCTGCTGTGACGTTCTCGTGCAGGGGAGGGTCTTTCACCCCTTACAGGGCGCTCTGAGTCACTGTAGCGCCCCCCATCTCTGCTGCTTCCTCCAGGGCTGCCATCTGGAGAAGAACGCCTGCGCCTTACTGTCCTGTCAGTGCTGTCAGGGGAGTGATCTATATGACGTCCATCCTCCATCACTCGCCGTTTGCGCACAGGTTCTCGTCCTTGCAGCTCTCTTTCCAGAGACCAAGGTTCTCGTGCTCGTCTCTCACGCTCCAAGTGCTCCAGAGGTTCAAAGGGTGAGGCCCGGACTCGCTCTCGAATAGCCGGGTTGGGCCACTCAGTTCCAGGAAATATTTCTCTCTCTCTAAAATGTAGCGGGGGTGGAGTCCTGTCTCTGACCCTGAGTGGTTCAGGTGCAGCACGGTGGACAAATGACTCAGCCACCATGTCAAAAGGTGGTATAGGAAGAGGCTGCAGGAACTGCTGTTGATAACGATGCTCTGTGTCAGCAAAGTCTACTCTCAGTCTTCTGTCTGGACCTCCCAGTGGGAAACCCCTCATGTGTGTACAAGCTGCCTGAGCAGCATCCAAACTCTCATACTGAATGTAGGCCCAGGTATCCCCCTTTCTGTAGTCAATAGTTCTTATAGTTCCAAAACGGTCAAACTCTCTTGCCAGAGCAGCTAGAGGAACCCAGGGTCCAAGTCCACCCACCCACAGGCGTGTGGTGGGTGTTGCTTTCCCATAGCCTATCTTTATGGGATTGCGGCCCACGATTTTACCAGACATGTTCAGCTTAGCACGGTGGGCCATGTCTAGATTTTCAAATTTCAGAAATCCATATGTACTAGTTTGTCCCCTGGTGGGCCTCTTAATATCCACCTCTGTGATAACTCCAAACCTGTCAAAAGCTCTCCTTAGGTCAGCCTCAGTCACAGTTATGTCCAGGTTGCCTAAAAACAACGTCCTGTTGGCTCTTTGGTCGTCTTCTGGAGATATAAAATCCTCCTCACGAAAAGCTGCTCGTTCTGCAATGAAAGCTGGACGTGCCCTGGCCTCAAACAGAGCGAACTCTCGGTCCCGGTCCAGTTCTCTGGGGAGAGGGGGTGGAGGCGGCGGCGGGGGGAGCCGTCCTAATGCTAGCTGCTGCAGCCGGTAGTCTCTGTATCCGAGCCCCGTTGGGGACAGCGGTCTCTGCAAGTGTCTATGGCTCTGAGTTGCACCGTACAAGTCTCTTTCAACTGGGGAGCGGCTTCTCCTCCTATTTTTATACACCGCCTCGATCTTTAGTGGACGGTCGTACAGCACCAGCCGTCCTCTGGCGTGTTTGGCAGCGCGGGCGTCCTCCGGCTTCCTGAAATTCACGAATGCAATCCGCTCGTCGTTGCTACGGCTAATCTTCACACTTACATCGCCGAATTTCTTGAACTCGTGAAAAAGTCCGTCTTCCACGTCTTCGTCACTCAGCTGGGTGCCGAGGTCGCTTATTTTAAGAGTCTGGTACTCACTCTCGGCGTTGGGCGGCTGGACACGCTGCTCCCCCCGGGAAGTGGTCCGCTGCGAAGCTAAATCGAGCGTCAGGCTCAGGCTGTGGTTCTTAACCACGGAGCTAGCAGCAGCTGACTGACAACTGTGGTTATTTCCGGCCCGACTGTGGCTGTCAAAGTCCCGGTCTCTTTTCTCACCGAGTAGACTCCTTCTAGCCGAGCCACTGTCGCCTTTGGTCGAGCTGTTTCCGTTATTACTCCCGCTGGAAACGGAGAGAGCCCCCATTTTCTTGCTGCTCGGGTGGCATCCGCCCCTGTCTCGAATATCGTCCAAGGCCCGGGAGCGTTTTTTAATTGGCGACCGCTCTTTGCCTTTCATTTCACTCCACGCAGAGTCGACTCTGGGGCGCCTGGTGTTTTGTTAGCGACGTTTCTGCAAATTATTGCAGAAAATTAATGAAACGAAAAGCGGAGTTTTTCACTGACCCTGCGGCAAAACAACAACAGTCGCCATTTTGTCAAGATTAGGATTAAAGCCCACCCCCTCTAGTTTATTGGCTGAAAAAAGGGTGGGATAATTTCGAAGCGTCTGTCAATCATCCGATAAACCATAGCTGGTTATGACTTTTTTCTTTCTTTTTTTTGTTTTTTTGCCAACGAATTAACGAGCTGGATTGATAATTATATTGTTATTTATTCCTTGACCAGTCCAGAGCAATTTTTGGAGACCGCATATTTCGGATATGTAGCATCTGTGACTATTATAGTATGATTTTACTTAACATTAATAATGAGACTGAACCCCCTTTATATACATTACCTAAAGTCCCACCTACTCTTTGGTGGGGCAATAAATATTCATAAAAAAACGGAGGACAGAGTACTGTCTTCATCTCATTTTCAGTGACGTATTTTGATCGTATACCACAAGATGGCAGTATCTGAACAGTAGCAAATAGCTACCCATAATAAACTGTCAATCTTTTTAGCTAATAAACCTGTTTTAATATCTATGTATTTAGAAAATGTAATATATATAATACAGTTGTACGTTGTATTACTGCATAGATCAAGGCATTACATTCTGTGCTACTAGTTACCACTAAAGGGCAAAAATAACGTTTATTTTGTAAGCCACAAAATGTATGTGTTTGTGATAAATATAGGAGTAGTTTAAGCACTGAAAAAACATTATGATCCCAATGTTTGCATCTACTAAGAGACCTGCTCCTGATCTCAATAAGAATACATTTAAAATAAAATAATAATTTTCCACAATTTTTTAGGTAAAAGTACAATAAGGTAAAAGTAATTTTGAAAAGTTATCAGATCCTGATTTGCAAGAAGAATATTCACTTCTGAATATTAATTTAACCACAAAGGCTGCTGCAACATAAACAACAGAGGTTTTATATTACACACTGCCCTATAATGCTAATATATAAGTGAATTTGAGACTGAAGTTGACATATGATAAACTTCAAGATAGAATGTCCCACCCCTCCACCCCTGTTGACTTTGCTGGTGGGATATGCTACCTTACTTACTTACTTACAAATACAAGGATCCGTTGAGTCCCAATAGGAGAACGCCAAGGCTGAGATAAATCTCACAGAGATCAAAGCTCAGCCCTGTGACCAGAAGGCACCTTCATGGACTTTAATGAGCCACAAATCATATATCAGCCTATTAATGAGCCGGGGATACAGTAGTTTTATGACTCTTAATGACCATCATCACCCACTGACCTCAGACAGGGATTAATGTTTAGTTACAAACTGCCCTCCTCGGTCTTAAGCAGCCTCCACCCAACAGTTTTCATGAACTCCAATCAGAACAACATTAACTCCTGTAGGTGTTTTTATGGTTTGTTGAGGGCTTGGTCACAGGTTTTCTGACTCAATAAAGTCACAGAGTTATGCTAATGTTTACAGCTACAAAATACATTTTCAAACCTAGCCCTGAAATCGTCTTATTCAAAACAAGACACATTCATAAGGCGATGAGCCAAAGCAGTTAAATCCACTAGCTGTTGTGACTGGTTTGTTTGATGTCTATACATACATTCGTTTACCTGACAATTTGTTCACAACCCATGACTCATGAATGTAAGATTAGGTCTTTCATAAATCAATTAGAGACATCATTACATCTATGAGAGCTCTGCTGACACCGTTCACACTTTTACATGTAAAATTCACTCAGCTGCTAAGTTTTCTCTTAGGTTTATGGACAGACACGTCTGACTAAGCTGTCCCCTCGCTAGAAAAATAATTTTTAAAAAATTGAGCACTGATCCACCATCTGCTATTTCTTTAGCTTTCCTAAAGATGGTCATCTCCTCAATCCCTTATCCCTACTGACAGGGCTTCTTATCTTCTCCACTTAATCTGGGATTTAATCAGGGGGACTATGTAATGGCAGCAAGGACTGCTGTCTCCCAGGGTCTGGCTGGAATTTGAGGCTGTGGTGTGGAAAGTGTTTCTGATGGGTTTGTGCAGTCCTCTATTGGAACCACATGTCAGCGGCTCACACAAAATCCCGACACAGACTAAGGGAATGGCAGCTAATCCGCCCCAGCTTGGCTGTCACTGTGAAGCAAGGAAAGAGAAAGGAGAGCCAATGCATTTTCCCCGAAAGCCATGTACACTCCTGGGGAGTAAGTGGAACTCAGGAGGGCTTTGTCCACCACTGGAACACTATTTTTTTTTCAGTTCATGCTGCATTCTCAATATCAAATCCATTGAAATGTGTGCACATCTGCCATGAATATGCTGGTATTTAGTAATTCCATCCAGCTGGGATGGTACCATGCAATTCAGAGTTTCCTTGACAATAAAGTAAATTGTTTGGGGGGTGAAGCACAACAAGGAGATTTCCTGAGAACAATAACTATGCATTCAGGATACATATGTATGACATAAAACACATTTCTGTCATATTCTCCTTTAGAAGCAATGCATCAAAAACATGAAAGTAAAAAGGCAGATGACCTGGCTTGAGTTAATATCACTACTAAAATGCCCTAAGCCACGGTGACCCCAATTTCTTCTATTAAAGTATTGCTCATTATTCAGTTGGTCGGGTTTACCACTGATGCCAGATGTGAAGGAGAAACGCCTGAATCATGAAGCCAGCCGTCTGTGGGAGACTCTCTACTTAATCATGCACGGTGAAGTGTGGTTCTTCAGTTAGCTTTTCATTAATGAACCTGCCACTTGTTCCTGATGCATGAGGTGCGACCTGAGTTCCTCCCCCAAGCAAATCCAACTTTGTTCTATTTGTAGATTGTCCTGAAACCCAAAGAAAAACATCAGAAATCTTTGTTTTTGTCATCTACAGCCTGGGGAGTGTGCATTTTTGCCTCATGAACCACACTCCCTGTTGTGATTCAAACTTTGGTTGGCTCTCTGCGTTATTATCTTCAAAAAAGAGCCCTGTCCTTGCTGGAATAATTCATACCAGAATAGATGTCGTTGCATTTTCTTAATCTCTTTTTCCCCCAAAATTCCTTCCAGCTGAATAAAACGATGATTTAGATGGAGGACTTTATTACAGGTCACACTATAAAGCTTAATAGACAAAAAAAAAAAAAAAAACAAGGATTACTATGGTAATATTTTTACATGCTTAAATAATGTTTCTTCTTCTTTGGTCTTAGCGTTTTGTTATCTAATAAACCAGGACACTAGAAGGTTTGTATTAATATGCTGGGTTTCATGCAGGAGGCGCCAGATGCCTTCAATGTTCATGAAATTCCTCTTCCAAGAGCTTCTGAATCATCTCCAGGTTGGTTTACATACAGCAAATGAAACTCAAAGTGATTTTAGTCAAAGATTTGTGCGGACAGTAACTGTGCATCATCACAAATCTAGCATGCGTTGGCTCAGTCAGTGCATATCAGGGAGCTGCCACCGTGGCGGTCATGTCGGCCAGGAGAGGATGCTGCCTGGCTCTTTGGCTTTCATCCGCAGGGCCACCAGGCCTGTCGGCTTGTATTCGGTCTCAGGCCCCTCGATGGAAGGAGAGCCCAAGCTTCCAGGGAAGCTGTGGAGCGAGTAGAGGCCATTGATGCCCGGATGGTGAGACGGGTGGTGGTGGTGGTGGTGATGAGGGTGGCTGGGGGACGTGGACATACCCATGAAACCCTGCAGGTTGCTGTGGGGATGAGGGTACGGACTCATGCAGGATGAAGGGATGGAGTCAGCTCCAAGGACGCAGCCAGCGCTTGAGGCACCGCCTCCTCCTGAGGTGGGTCCTGGCCACAGGTTGCCCTGCATCTGCACGGGCAAGACGCAAGACAAATTTGAAATCAAGATTAGATTTAGATGCAAATTCGTTCACGTATTTCTATGCCGTCAAATAATTTGCAATAACCGCAAAGGTCAGAGGGAACTTGTACTGTGTTGTAATATTCTCAATATCACAGCGGGTACTTTTACCACTACAACGTGTAATGTGAGATCGGCAGGGGCCTACCTGGTATGAATCATGGCGAGGCAGAAGAGAAATATCGTAGGCAGCAGCAAAATGGTTGCGGACCTCCTGAATTTTTCCATAACGTTCTCGTTTTCTCCACTTGGCCCTGCGATTCTGGAACCATACCTTTAAATACAAAAATAGAAAAAAAAGAATTACTTTCAATGCCTTCTTGTTCAGGAAGTGCAACAGCACGTACATGCATAATATTATAGGTAAAGTTTCAACTCCAAATGCCCCATTTAAAGCCACCCCCTACAGCCATCATATGTTTGGGTTCTTAATGGCTGGGCGTCATGGGCCACTTGTGTATAGGGACACAGAGACACACAGCTGGATGTGAGTCTGTGCTCTCCACCACTCAGCTATGACCATAAAATACAAAAAAAAATTACAACAGGAAATTTTACAACCTTGGTCTCGACCACAAACTCTCTTCAGCTCTATTTTATATAAGGGAAAAAATGTAAGAAAATAGAAAGTGGTTTCAGTAAACACACACCTGAACCCGAGCCTCAGTGAGTTCAGTCCTGAGGGCCAGTTGTTCCCGGGCGTACACATCAGGGTAATGTGTCTTCTGGAACACTTTCTCCAGCTCCTCCAGCTGAAATGTGCTGAATGTGGTCCGGTTACGTCTCTTCTTGTTTTTGCCTGACAAGTCGATGGAGTCGGCGATAGAGTCGCCCTGCAAACCAAGCCCTGGGTCCTTCAGCTTCGAGCAACAGTCTGTGCTGATTCCAGGGTAGCCCATGGTTTTTGGAGCTCCCTTTTCTCTCACTGTGAAACAATAAAAAATAAAGTCAAAATAAATGAAACATAATGTTTCCTTTCTATAGCTAGTTTTTCCTATTTTACAGTGTTCTTTGATCAGCTTCTAATTTAAAATAATCATCACCGTTACAAGAGCATGTAGTAGAGTGTCAGCAATACCAAAATATTTGTTCTTAGGGAAGCACTGGTAACAAATTCCATATATTTTTTTAAACTTTCTGAAAGGTCAAACATAAGCACAGAACTCATAACTTCACCACAAAAATGTAGCATTGTTGGAACACAGTAAGACAACGTTCATATCTACAGCCAAAATACAATTGTTTTAAAAATGAAATCAGGGTATCTCACCCCCACCCTCCTCCAGCCCCCCATGCTCACAAGGATGAGAAACATACGTCTGCACAAAAAATGAGAGAGCGTTTGGAATCAAACGTCGTTGCATGTCATGCACTCCCCCACCCCCAACCCCTTCCTCCTTGCCCTCTGCCTCCCCCTATATTTGTAATTGTACAACAAAAACAAATTAAACATCTCACTTAGTGGTTGGAATGGGCAGAAGAGGGAGTGCGGGGGAAGGAGGGGGGGGCGGAGGGGCAGTTTGGTTTTTATGCTGCTCAATTTATATCAGTAACAAAACCTGGCAAACAGGCTGAGCTGTGAGCCATCTGAGAAAATCAACACACACTTAACATCCAACAGCACACACAACACTAATGCAGACAAGCAGTGATTTAATTGAATTTGCTCAGACAAACCATATTTAGGCAGTGACCTCTCACTGAGTTGGCCTGAAAAAACCCACAAGGTAAAGGAGTTAAAAAAAAATTGATTTTGTTCACGGACGCATTTGAAACACGTTTCCAGAGAAGAACTTGTGGAAATGTTCGTGTCAAAACATTTGCATAAGGACAAATGACAACAAAGAGTCAACGGCGAAAACAAGTTTGTGAATCTTGCAGCATGTGATTGTTTGACCCAAATACGCAGCGATGTTAACTTCATCAGTAAAGTGGAATCTGAAGGTCTGACAAAGTTCCTTCCTGTTGCATGGAAAGAGCCACTCTCTCCTGCAGTGTTTGGATGTTGTTGTCCACGTTCATTAAATTTAACCCTGAGCTTTAAAACAAAATCACTCTCCATATCTCTGCAGGCACTCACTCACACACTGGGCCGACTCAGACACCACTCTGCTGCTCTCCTCAGTCAGGCTGGGGCCCCAGCAGAGAGCACTTTTCATTACAACATTAATTTCCTCACGTCCATTACCTACAACATCACACCACACTTCAGGCTGGACATTTTCTTCAAAATTGCAAATTGGAGCCTCAGGCCAGAGACTAGACTGTGACTGTGTCACATCTGCAGCACCTCCAACAGGTCTTTAAATCATAACAATATTCATCAGTTAAACTTCTGTAAAACTTCTCATGCGTTGTTCATACTTTCTTCAACCTGACTCAGTAAAATTTTAGAATATATCAGGATATTCATGTTGATTTTTTAAACTAAATTATGCAACTGCACTGTTTATTAAATTTTAAATTCTTGCAAAATAAAATCCAAATATTAAACATTCTACTTCCCTTTAAAAAAAATCAATGCATATCATAGATTATTATTTTGAAGATTAGAAAAAAAAACTACAAACAAAAAAAACCCAGAAAACACCCGTGGACAGACTCTGCCTTGCCTTCGCTTTTTATTTGGCTAAATTTGAAACGTAACGTAATTTAGCGAAATAAAGTGAAATACTGCAGTAAGAGCCGCAATTTCGACATCACGTTGTTGAATGATCAGTGGACCTAAAATAACAACGATAGCAATTAAATAAACAAACTGCTTCATTTTAGTCGCAAGAAACACGAATATGATAAACACCAGTCTAACTAATGACCGTATGTTAATTTGGTGTGTGAATTAACCGATGACTTATCAACTCTACACTAGTCTAATACTGTTTCAAAATCAACTAATGTTACATTGACATTTTTGTTAAATCAATTTGCGTCGGTTGATTTCTGCCTTTTAAATTCAAATTCTGTTTAATTTATTTTAATTTTCACTCTGATCTGTGTGTTTTTTACATTGAAAGAAAAACGTAAAGAGTTGAAGTTTTGCACATATTAATTCAATATTCTGCAACCGCTAGACGCGACTAATCGACTAATCAAAGCAAGATCAGGATAATCTAAGAAACGAATTGACGGCTGTCGCACTATGGTTGAATTTGATTTGACAAATGAGAAAATGAATTGTGGAAACGCAACGTCGTCCTCCCACTGGCTGTGAAAAGGTTTTCCTTGTGTGTTTTTCTTCACCGCCGAACTTTTCCTCCAACTGTAGACAAAACAGGAAGACGCTCCTGTGCTAGGTGTCAGTCCGAACTCTACACAACACACACACACACACACACACACATACACACACACACAATGACACTTCCCGTACAACCTCCAGTCATCTTGGGTTAGAAAAATAAATAAATAAAACTGGTATTAAACAATAATAAGTGTCTCTGGTCTGTGTGTTTATTTACATACGAAATAGAGAGACGGAAGTGTGTGTGCGAGTGTGTGTGTGTGTGTGTGTGTAATCTCCTAAAAGGTCATCTGATCAAAATAATTCTTATCATTGTTTATGTTATAACTGTCATGATAATACTTTAAAAAAGTTTTACAAATTTGACTGATATTGATTAATTGGAAACATGAACCCGTCTTTGTTATTATATATAAAAATATATATATAATAATTTTGAACACAAATATCCCAGAGAACTTATCGGCGTATTTTAAAATTAATAACAACTTATACATTAAGCAAAAGACCACATTATTGTTAAAAATATAAATAATAGTTTTCAATTCCACTTTAGCTCATTTATCCCAAATGTTCACACGGTCTTTGAACACAACACTGTTCTCTGCTCTACACTGCACATTCAGGAGTTTTAGTCGAAAAGACAGTGAGTTCGACAGACTTACAAAATAACACTGAGCAGAAAATTGTCCAAAGAGGCTGACAGCTGACCGGCGGCCTAATGACACACCCGACTTGCTGCCGTGTTGACCTTTAACCCCTTTCGGTCTACATCAAGGACTGTCAAGTGAAGGAAAAGTTGTTGATATTTTTATTACAACCTTTCCTCCCTTTGCATCTGGTAAACATCAGCTAACACCTGAAGTGAATGGCGTGGACTGATGATAATCATCTTCAATTTAAATACGACCAATAATGTAATGAATTACACAAATCAGGAAGAGGTTTGAAAAACGAATAATATAAATAAATCACAACTTTATCTATTTTGTTGGAGGACCTCTGGTTTTATTACTGCACGGACTGACTAATATATGAAAGATTTAAGATTTGAAAAGTGTCATGAAAAGTTTTGAAAACACACATTCTGTATTAGAGAATTATGTTAATGTTCATTCCAGTATTAAATCAAGATAACGGGGATGAACCGTTTCTGATGTGAAGAAAAACAGAAATAAGAATTTAACCGACTTTACCTTCAGAGTTATTCTCATAAAACGTCGATTTCCCGCTGATGACGGTTCCCTTCTGATCCTGGTTTATACTGTCCAAGAACTTGTTGTGTTTAGACGGAGATGTGGGCGAGTGCAGGGCGCCAGAGCCGTGCGTAAAATCCGCACCCCCCCCAGCCGCACCGGCGTCTCCAAACCTGGCCATGCCGGAGGAAAACAGATCCCCGCGCAGGCTGAGGCGGTGCGGAAGAGGAGCTGGGGGAGGAGGAGGAGGAAGGTGCGAGGGTTTCTGCAGCTCCTCGCAGGACAGAAAGGAGCCAGAGCCGCCGCCGTGCTCCAGTCTGGGGGAGTTTTCCGGCGTCCTCCTGCTGCCCTGCGCGGAGAAAGGCAAACACGTCTCCGACTCCATCTTCCACCAGGACAGACAGCAGTGAGTGGAGGCTGACGGAGCAGCTGAGAGTCAGAGAGAGAGAGGGAGAGTTTTTTTTTTACTCTGCGTGTCCATGTCAAGTGGGTGGGATTTAACAGATCAGAAACAAAGACCCGTGAAACCCGGCTAGGGTGTGTGTGTGTGTATGTGTGTGTGTGTGTGTCCCTGTCCTGCAGTCTGATATAATCCGCCAAAAATTCAATCACGTGTGGTTTGTGTTCATCCAATTAACCATTTAATTCTTATTTCATATATTGTTATGGCTCTAATCAGCAAATCAAGCGGGACAGGCTCACACACACACACAGAGAGAGAGAGAGAGAGAGAGAGACACACACACACACACACACATATGTGGCTGTATATTTCCACCTTGTTCCAATGTATACTTTTTAAAGTGTCTTTTTCATTTAATTTAATTTTATTCAGTTTGTTCAATCGAATGTTGACCACATGGACTTTTTTTACTCTATATTTCTTTTCAAAGCGCAGAACTGAACTTTCAGATCCACCGTCGGTTCATTTATCACTGCGGATAAATTAAATACCTGGGCGGTTATTGAGGATTTTGCAAACGGTTCAAAAGTCTCTAAACGACCAGTAAACCTTTTTAAAGTATATTCAAAGGACAAAACATATGCATGACGTGACTACAATATATATTTCCTTTCGTAAACCTTTTAAAATAGGATACAACGGATAATCAAGGCGCTATAACACCCCAACAATGCGTTCATAAAATAACCAAAGGGACGTGTAGCTCGCTACATTCATTTGCATTAACTTACACAGATGTTGACAGAATGTATTTTAATTTATCATTCATTTCTTCCATAGTTTCATTTTTGCACGTTACATGTTGTTTTTTCACCTTGAAAAACACTTTAAAACAGAATTATATTATTCGATGTGTATTTTGCTTTAAATATATACATGTATTAATTAAAATACTGTGGTACCACACAACAAACTTTAACTTTAAGTGTATATAATTTGAACTTATTGAATAAAAAGGACGCCAATCCTCTTAATAAAATAATAACTCTACAGGACTGGAACATGTTAGTAATTCCATTAGAACAATAGTTTTTCGTTACTGCTGGGTCCATATGGAATTTTATAAATTATCGGTATGATCGTTACTTTTCTTAGGTACGTTATTGTGTGTGTGTGTGTGTGTGTGTGTGTGTGTGTTTGACTGTTGGAGCTCCACAGTTTCTCAGTTTAAACTCGGCTCCTGATTTCCTGCCGTTGGAACAAGTTAAATAACTGTTCCTCTCAGAAAATATAGAAGACGAAATATAAAAAAAGCAAAACAACACTTATCGAAGTCTAAACACCGGAGTAGCTGACGCTTTTAGTTTATTTAGGATACACTACTTTATGCTTGTTGTTAAAGTTTGTTTTGAATAACTACCCTCCCCCACATATATACATGTATGGGGAGATAGATTTTGATATATTTTTTCCATCAAAACAAACGTAAACACACACTCATACACACATACATACTGTATATATGCAAATATGTATATGTTTACATTTATGCATGTGAGTATAAATGTGTATATTTATATATAAAAATATACACACATACATACATATATAAACATATATCTATATAAATATATATACTCATATATTTTAAATAAATATGTCTGTCATTCATTTTTACCACTGTGGCTCCGTTCCCTTTCTTCAAATTTAGACTCAGTAAAAGAAAAAGATAAAAGGACATTCTATATTGACATGTTATCTCCAATCTATAGACAAACTTCTTCTAAACACAGTGCACTTACCAGGTTCAGACATGGCACCGTCGGTTTGAGGGACATCTCACCACATCCATGGATACCTGAGGCCACATCAGCGGCTCAGCTGATGGACAAGTGTGTAAACATGAGGTCCATTTGGGCCCAGAGGCCTCCTACAAGCCTCATTTCACTCTGTGTTGAGCTCTGACATATCAAAGTGCCTCACGCAGACCCAAGTGCAGGGAGGAGAAAAGCTGTGCGAGGGAGAAATGTGGAGTTAACATGTGAGTGATGGCTCCATTTGAACTCCAGAGGTTTTTTTAATTGATGCCTTCATAATTATCGTAATAGAAGTGAAACACTGAAACTGAACACTGAATTCCACTGACGACTTCATCAGAGTCGAGAAAGTTTAATTATTTTCTTCATAGCTTTATCTTTTTTTTTCACTTTACTAACAAGAGTGTTTTCCTACAAAATGCAGAGAATAAATGACTGCTGTGAAGTCAGGGTCAGATCCAGTAATATCCTGGCTCATTATTATTATTTTTTAAATCAAATCTCCTGCGCCATTGTGTAGACCGACCTACAGCGTTCATTATGGCCTTCTGGAAATATTGTTTTTAACCCTTTGCAGAGTATTTGGTTGGCCTGAGGTCTTCTTTTTAAATTGTCTTCCATTTGTTTTTTTCCAAAGTTCTCAGCTTTCGATGCAATGCGGTATCCACCCAGATCATTGTATTTCAACCATTTACTTTTATACTACCCGGAGTTCTATATGTTCTTTGGGTCATTTGTCAAAAACAGTGACAAGGTGGTCACAGTCCTAAAAACATTTATGTTCCACCTCTACCATTTTGCTCAATATCATGTAGATCTACAACCTAGTCTCTCTTTTTTTTAAATCTCAAAATCTTTTGAAAATGTTCAAATATTTTCGTAAAGACTAAATATGGTCCTGCAAAAAAGATTCAGATCAACTTATTAAGGTCAATTTTGTTTTGTCACAACAAAGTCAAATAATGTAAGCATTACAAATAAAACCTATACATTTAGAAACGTGAGTTAGGGGTGGGCTGCGGAGGTAGTTTTTTTTTTTTTTTAGCCCAATTAGTATGTCACATGCACGCTCTCAAACTTGCATGAGTTTAGTTGCATGAGAATAAAGAGAGAAGAACCAACCTTCATGTGGACACCGACGACTTCACTGCCTGTGCAGAGAGGAAGAGCTCCTTTAGGTTTAAAGTGATTAGTGGCCTTGATTGAAGGCCTAACGACATTAATGTGTAACATGACTTAGATTACCATGTTTGTGTCAGTTGAACTTGGACCCGCCATCATGTGCCACTTTTTATCTTTTCACACCTTTGCTGTGTGCATTCATTCCCCTAGCCATTAGTTTGAACCATGTTTGCCAGCATTTATCAAACTGTCTGGCTGGCCACCATTAAAAACCCCATAATTCTGTTAGAGGAGAGTATATGTTTTAAAATGTGCACAGACGCGGGATGCGGATACGTCTCTCAAATCTGGTGTCAAGCATGTCCTCTGTAGCCCGAGGCTTCAGAGCACTCTCATATCCACAGACCCAGCTGAGTAAATGCATTCCAGAAATGTGGGCAAGAGGAAGATCGTATGTGCTATGATCTCAGAGTCGCCGCAGGTATCTGTGTTTATATGAATATTGCATCAAGGGAGCATAAGATGTGGAGGATTGTGGGTATGTAACTTGCTGAGGAGCCACAGACTCCTGTTGCTGACATCTTACTGCTTTGGCGTGCTTAATTATACTGGGAACACCAGTATAATTACTGGGAAAAAATCTGCCACATCAAGTAAAACAGAGGAATAGTCCTTTTTACCACATCTTCTATTACGCTTTTTAAAAAAATCTTAATCAGAGGAAAAAATGCGTTAAAAATGGCAGAAAACAGCATCACGCTGCACTCTACACCATGACCATCTCCACTTTCTTATCCCTGAGGTCCTAAACCCTTGTCCTCCAAATCTGTCCTGGGCATGACCCCGCACAGGAAATCAGTTCAGCCTGTTGGGAGTCCCAGGTCTCCCCCTGCCGCCTCCTGGCCCTGGGTACAGACAGCGTTGATAAAAGTGACCCTGCACTTTCCCCGTGCTCCCTGAGCCCCCGGGGCTTAGAGGCTGCTTCCACTCCTCCATCCTCTACATCCTCCGTCCGCCTGTCAGTCTGAAGGGCTTTGTCACGCCCTGTTACACCTTACATCCTCTCTTTCACACAAGGACAACTAATATAAATTTGTGTTTATGCATGAAGGTTTAACGGCACATGTCTTTTATTACAAATTGTAGGTTGACCCATTAGGAAAGGGGGAGGGGAGTTGTGTTAGTTTGGCTAAAACAAGACATATATATACATATAAACATGCAAGTGGAAAAAAATAAAATAATGTGAATAAATGTTTGGGTGCATATGTATAATGTATATGTTACACTAATCACCAAAGTAGTTTGTATATTGATTGACAACACCTGCATAGCTTACAGTTCAGTGTAGTAGTTAATATGATCCCTTCCCTTGTAAACATTAGCTGCTAGCTTATCGTCTTTTGGGCTCAAAGAACTTGGGCAGAACTGAGGCTTAAAAAATGAAGAGAGTTTTCATCTACACCCAGTTTATTTACCCACTAAAATGTAGAACATTTTAAAAATGTTAGCATTGCTACTCTGTAATGTTAATGTCAGCTATGCTTCAGCTCACATTCATAATAAGGAAATATATTTGCCTTTTTTATTAGGTCACTATAAATCTATAAAGCCTGGTTCAATCACTAAAATAGTTTTTTGTAATTACAATATTTGGGATTTAAATTTATTACCAGATGAAAATAATCCAGGAAGTAGATAATAATACAGCAAACCCTGATGCCTTGGGTGGAGTGGTTCTAGCAGAATTAGCTTAGCATGTTTAGCTAGCTAAAACACGTATTGTGAACAGAAAAAAACACTGAGCTTGTGGGCAACAGTATTAGGAAGCTTTGCAAATAACGCACTGCCAACATAGGTTGTTTCTGTAAAACTGTGCTTTTAAATTATTAAAGTAAATATAACAAAAACAAGTAAAAAAAAAAACTTTTGTCAACAATACAAAATAAGGAATGTTTTTGTGTTTCGGGGCTACTTTGTAAAATTGATTGCCTAAAAATAACTGGATCACAACTGAACAGCTCAGGTTTAGTGTGTGACCAAAGGACTGATTATTCAAGAGTCTTTGTGCTTCATTTGGAAATGAGAATATGTGTCAGATATATGGTATATTATTCTACAGCAGTGAATACCGTCTTTTAGGTAGGTCAAATGTAAGCTAAGAGCTGGTCCATCCTGGAGACCTACTACAGAAGCGTGAAGATATTTTTTCTGAGCTGAACGTGACATGAACCAACACAGAACACAGCTAACATGAAGCGCAGCTGGCTGCTTTTGTCTGAGCACCACAGCCTGAGGTCTTTCCTCTCACGTACAGGGAAGTGATTCAACCTGAGGTTTGCATTAGAAGAGGAGAAGGATGGCTAATTGAATTATCCACCATGAATGCACAGAGATGATCCTATATGCAGAGCCGGAGTTCCTCTCAGAGGCCTCCTCACATCCACTGCTCTGTGTCCAGAAGCTGCAGAGCCAGCTGACGTTGTGATTGGCAGCTGCCGACCCTGGGGGTCATTTTGTTGGAGAAGTGCATTGTGGGAAGTGCTAGCGTGCTGGTCGGTTTTGGCAAAGGGGGTTGAGGTTTGGATGAGAAGTGGGAAGTGTCGGTGTCCTCTGTCTGACCTCATGCGAGGCGTCATGGAGCGCTCTGGAGCCCAGTGAGTGCCCAGTCAGCCACATCAGGGGCCACAGTTGCAGCACACATGAGATGAGCCTGGTACATATCTGTAGGAAGAGCAGGAAGAAAGATCTATACTGACAAGTGGTACAACAAAGAGATGCTCGGTGGCATTGCTTTGTTCAAGATTGAAAAATATATTTTTCCCACAGAGTTGGAAGATCATAGAAGGATGAAATGTGAAAGCTTTTTCTAATATTTTCTCTGCTGGTAGGTTCGTGACTTATTGAACCATTCAATTAACCCCCCAGTGAACTTCAAACCAAAAGACGGCCGTGCTTCACAGAGTAGACAAACCAACAATGACAAGTCCTGCAGCTTTGGTTAATCAAAAATTGGAAATAGTTCCTCTACGTTTGATTCATCATAAAAGATTTGCTGCTGCTCCACATGCTGTATATGTTATTTTGGATCTTGGCAGCCATGAGAGCTCAGTTTAACTATGAGACAGAAGTATGGAGACCACTTTCTGATGAAGCATCTCTGTGAAATATAGGTGACGGCCAAGGAACAAACAAATAGCATTAAGAATTTCGTGACTGAGGTATTTGATCATGTGGGATACACAACGACAACATCTCAATTTGAAGGGATTCACAGGGACGCTCCACATTGGTTCACTTGGTCGAGATAGGTACACAATGAACCTGGGCTTGACTGGGTGAATCGAGTGAAGCTCATATAATCACCAGTGGACTGAGGCCGCACAACAAACCTTATACGTGCAGAACCCTTTCTTGCTGCACGTGAGAGTTTCCAATGGTCCGGATTTACTGCCTGAGGAGGCTTGAAAGGTTTCTTTCTTTTCTTTTTGAATGATTCCATAATAATCCTTACCCTGTTGTTCTGAAGGCCAATAAAGCAATTCAACAGCTAAAAAAGTAACTTTTATACAAACTCTAGTTCCAGATATAGAAACGATAACAGAAACGTAATATTCCAACTGACAAAGCAATGCATTTTTCTTCCAGTAACTATCATTCTTTATTTATATATAGTAGTTTAATAGTAATATAGTTTAATAGTTAGTTCCCAAATGATGATAAACTTTGTTCAAGGGTAATGTTGGAATTCACTTCTGAATTTTAGGTTATAATCAGGCATCCAATTAACTCAGTAACCCAAAAAATATGTGAAGGCTTTGTGCTTCACTGAAATACAGATTTCAGTGTTTACTACGGCAAAAAACAATAAAACAATCTATCTATGGATTGTATACTTATACTATATTGGTGAAAAAGTATTCTTCTGGAACAATCCCCCTTAAAAACTAACAAAAAGTGCTTTGCGTTCAGCACATACAGCATTTGTGCTGTAATAATGAACAGCAAGTGTTAAAGTCTAGCTTTTTACAGTTTGATATACATTAACCCTCTTTTTTCCTCTCCTGTGTGAATGAGGCTGCTTTGTGTGTGTAATCGGATTATGAAAACTGTGTCTGTGAGACGATAAATGTCTCTCTGCTCAGACTGGACTGGAGCCTATAATGAAGGACAGGTCAGTTTCACTACTCCATTATAACCTGCAGAAATTCACACACACACACACACACACAGGGCTCTGACACACGCCGGGGCTCAGAATAAATAATCCTCACTAATGTGTTTTGGAGCTCACAGGGAGGGGCGCTCTGGAGCGGTGACGCATGCGTAATGAAGCAGACGTTGGAGAATAAATACATTCAATTTGCCAATTTGAGATCTGTCAGACTCAGGTTTATTTTTATTGTCCAAATTTACTGCCGCATCAATGTCCCACTTTGGCCTACTTAGAAATAAAGTCAAACTAATCCGCTTTAATTCCCGCGAAATTGCCGCTGGATTCGAAATGATTATTAACGGCCGTTTGTCGGATATATCGGCTATTTGTTTGACAACTGGTCAGTAACATCGAAATACAAGAATCAGTGATTGTAACAGTGATAATGAGCCCCTCTTCAGGGGAAACATCCACTCTCTGGTAGATATTTTTCCACCAGATAATTTGGCACTAAATCATGAACAGCATGGACTGATGATCTCGAGGCTCTCATTATCCAGAGTCCAAGGAGAGACAGAGGAGTCCAGGCTCCTCCTGGAGACCGACAGACACGAAGTGTGAGAGGAATTAAAGTTAGACATGAGGCCGCTGTCTGTTCATCTGGGAGGGTCACGGTAAACACTGAATATGACGGACATTCAATTATATTCATTATTTTAAAACATATAGTGTTAAAATGTTTTCATTGTAAATGTGCCCATCAATATAGTTTTAATTTAAATAATCTGTTCATTTATTAATTATGTATATATATATATATATATATATATTTGCATCCAGTAATTTATTGTCACTGTAATAAACGCGTCTTTAAAATTCAACTTGTGGATTTCAACGAAAAATGTCAGTTTAACTGCATTTATTTAACTAAACGTGGAGACGTTTAACTCCCGCACCAAGGTCTTTTTTCATGACGTTGGACTTTTTTATATTTTAACATGATGAAAACGATGTTTTGTTATTGTGCAAAGATCGGTTTCCGTTGTTTTTATTGCAAAAAGTAAAGAAAAAAACAAGTAGTTGAAAGTAAAGAAGGAAGTCACGTTTCTTTACATATAACATATATCAAACAACAACATACGGTAAAGATTACACTTTGGTAAAACAAAAAGACTTCGCTTTCTGAAACGAAACGTTTTATTGTTAAAGCAAAAAAAAAAAAACAGAAGGGTTTTATTTCCGATATAGAATACACCATACACGGCACTAAAATGTAAAGAGGCTGTCTTAAATTAGGAGTATTAATAAATAAATCACGATCAGAAACGAAACTGAAAAGAACAAAACAAAACTTTTTTTAAATGTAAACTAAAATTTTGCAGTTTGAACCTGTGTCACGTTCCCTTACACAAAAAATTATGTTGATTGACAATTGACGTAACAGCATTTCTATTAATTAGCCTTCGTAATAATAAAGACACGTTTTTTATCTAAACAACGATGTTGGAGTACAACTTTTCTACAAAAATGTTCAAAAAGATGACAAAAATGTTTCTTTCGAAGTTTAGGTCAAAGTCAGCAGTGTATGTGTTGCAGGCAGTTGAATCAGTGTGTAAACATACACACACACGCAAACACACACACGGATACACGGTGTGACGTGAAGGCAGCCTCTCGTGGAAATAGTGCTGATTTACAGAAGGTCTGAGAGAGCAGAGTTTTCTCTGATTTTTCATTAGTCCCTCGTTTCCCGCGTATTTTCGTGTCTTTTTTGGCACTTCAGATTTCAGGAGGATTTGCGACCGTCCCTGCGATTTTTTTTAACAAGATCTCCAAAAACAAAGTCAGAGCCAGGCTCCTGTAATGGGCTTTAAAGGCCAACGAGCTCGGTTAAATGTCAAGTAAATGTAGATAAATGCAGAGGTTAGAAGGCAGTACCACATGTTTCTGACATGGACGCAGATAATCGGAGTTACAGCCTGTTCGTTATAAAAACTGTCATTTCCACGGACAGTATGTTAAAACAATTTAAATGCCTTCTTCTTTTAGTACTAGCTGAATGTGTATGGAAGTCAAAGTGACGCTAATAAAAGCGAATGTAAATCCGTGTCATGCACAAGTCATTTTCATGATTACTTTCGTCAGAAATCAACCTTTAATAACATGATAGGAACTGTAAAATCACCACTGATGCAGCTGTTACGTTCCATCATTTAATGAAATTTAATATAATTATTGTTATTCCACACGGTCGGGGATAGCTCCTTTACGTGTTTAGGTTAAACAGGTTAAAAAAATTCTAGTTCACGTTAACTTTCACGTGACCCTTAAATTTGAGGACTTTTCTCATCCTGTCAAATTTATTTATTAAACTGGATTCATTTTGAATCTGCCCTTAAATTTGAGGATTTTTCTCATCCTGTCAAATTTATTTATTAAGAAAGAAAAGAAAAGATTATTACAGAATGGTCAGAAGTTGATGAACTGCATGAGTTTGACCGATAAGTCGAACGAGCAAATAAATATACGAAACAACTGTGGTTTGATAGACAAACTTTTTGGGACTTTTCTGTTAATAATAAACTACTAATATTAATAAAACTTTTTATAATTGAATTGACAACTGTAACCAAATGTGACGACCTACCTTACCCCCTTTTTTTAATTTATTAGTTTTATTCAAATTTGGGATAACCATTTAAGGTTAATTTAGTTAAAACTATGGCTTAGTGAATTACATTTTAGTAGTCTGCTTTTTGTGTTTTGTGCTCATTTATTTAAAAAAACCTTTAATTATTTACAAACAGTTAAACTTTTAAAAAATCTTCTGGCAAACAGTCAGTCATTTTGGTCAATTTCCTCCTTTTTTCTTCTGGCAAACAGTCATTTTGGTCAATTTCCTCCTTTTTTTTCCTACTAACTAAGAACATGATCTGTGCTAATGACGAACAACAAGCCCTTTGTTTTTACCAGCAGTAGTTTGAAAAGTGATTAAAAAGTGACTTATAAAGAATGTCCATACACCACTGTACTGTGTTTTCAGTGTAGCAAACTGTTGAGTGCATGAGAAAAGCTGAATTAATAGCACCTCATCCACACTGATGTAGATTAGATTCACTATGATCCAAAGCCCTGCTGCATGTACACATGTGATGCATTTGTAAGCCATGGTATTGCAGTATTATGGAAAATAATCAGTCTGCCGGTAATTATTTTTACAACAGTGAATTTGAACAACCTTAAATTGCCTGAGGGGAGAAAAAAAAACAAAAAACTCCACACCTTGGATTTCAACATCGCTGAGGAATTATACTTTATTTATTTTTTTAGAGCCACAGGGCTGAATTTATACTGGGTCCATTCTATTTGTGTAATCACAGTTGTCGTAATCATGTGCTACAGTACAGCACAGTAAGGTGATTTCCGAAAATAGTAATATCTTTATATTTCCTGCGCTATTACATTTTTAGGTACCACATTATCATGGACCACGAGAGGAGCCCAAACCCAGACCGTAGGCAGCAGGAGGGCACTGCCCAAAACAGTGGTTTGGTCCAGAGGAATAACAAGCATCAACAGTGAATCCCCGTGAGCCCTCCCTTTAGAAACCTCCCCGGCTCTTGGTGGGGCCTTATGGAGCCCAGAACACATCCACACAGTCCAGATGTTCAAATCCTTATTTTAAGGTAACAAGTCTCAGTCCTGCTGCTCAGTTCAATCCAGTTTTCTTCAGTGTTCAGTTCCAGGTCTTTCAGGTGTTTTTCTGTTTCACATGACCATAACTCAAAGAGAGTGGATATAAAAGCAGCCTACATACAGTAAGTGAAGTATGCAATCTTTATTCCTAGGGACTGTATTTTACAATAATTACTTCTTTCTTTTTTTTTTTGTCTGTTCCATATGTCTGAGTGGACAGTTGCTGTGTAATGCCATCTGCTCGTACACTTCGTGGTTCATCTCTTGCAGGGATTAAAAGAATCGGATTTAAATCCCTTCATCCTGAGGA